GAGTAAAATACGATTGCACTTTTGGTTCTGTTTTAGTATTTGCGAAAACATTGCAGCGATGTGCCAACACTTCGAAAATGCTTCAACGACGTCGAGAAACTGTTCACCATCCACAATTTGGTCTTAACGGAATCGGCCGTGGAATTCATCAGCAGTGTGTCGAATGCACTGGTTTTAATGATAACTTCACTTTCGCTTAGCTGTACCGCGGAAGAGCTACAACTGGATGGAGTAAGCGCATGTTGCGCGCTCTCAATCAATATCCATAAACGCGCCACCGACATTGCAATGGCTTCAAAACATGCACAAATTCATCTATCCACCTCCACCGATGTCTTCGTTTTTTGCATAAATGAGGTAATTTTCACTCAAACATTACACCTTGTTATGTTTATTTGTGGTAGATTCCCAACAATTGCTGTTAAATTTGGATTAATTACTTACTTGATACGGCATTTCCGTCACTGGCGCGCTTTGATCCTTTCCAATGACTGAGTCAACAACCAAGCCACCGAGTTCTCTACTGAGCTCAGCTCATCCACAACACTCCATATAATCTAGTTAGCGGATCGGACTAGCGGATTAATTAGTGGCCCGTAATTACTTCGGTCCCTCGACCAATGTTATTTTGCAGTCCGATTCCCTAGCTATGCAGCTATTAATAATTTTCACAGTTATTCTGGCCAGTACTGCTTCGCCATTCGTTTATTGTGGCATTTTGTTTTGTCTCATAGGAGGTTGTTGACACAAACAAAGTGGTTGGCAAGGCCTTAGCCGTTTCGAACTGTTATTAGCGCATATTGAGTGACATCATTTCCTCCCCAGCGTTGCTGTCTTTAAACTAAGTGCGCATATGACGAATTTATTTGGAATGTGCGCAGATTTACTATTAATTAATTCAGGATTTTTTTTTTTGTGTCTTTCAGTAACTGGCTGTTTTCTCGTGGTGAATGCGAGAAGCAGTTCGCACAGAAGTATGCCACGCTGCCGAGTCAGTCATGTAGAATTGTGTAGGGCCATCGGCATTAGTTATTTAAAAACATGCAAAACTGTCGGACTTAGACGTTAGGAACATACGATACTTTTGCTGTGCCCAGAGATTTGAATAAGTGTCTCTCAAGTACACCCCCACTGCTACATTTGATTGAAATTGTAGATGGTCTTGCTAGCAGATATGAGTTAAGATGAAGAAAAATTGAATAAATGATCAAACAAGAAGAAAAGTGGAATATAATATACTTTGTGTGAAATTTACTTTATAATTTTTGACGAAATTGCTCGTTTTCCTAAAGCGCTAATTAATTCGAGATTGCTTAAGGCTTAAAATTTTGCTGCTTTTGGCAATGTGTTTTTTTTTTTCAGCTTCTGAAGAACAGCAAAATGGAACCGGGCTACGTGCTCGCCAACCGTCTGCTGATCTTCTTTCCGGCAGCTCTGCCATTTCTGGCCTCACCAGAATCATCCATTTATGTGGCGTTATGGAATGTGGCCAAAGAATCGTGGCATCATGCGTTAAAGTTATGTGAAACTACAAGCTCTGTCAAAAATTCCACGTCATCGGATTCGTGCGGTATACTTTTTCATTTTTGATAACGTTTTGATGCGATCAGTGCTGGAATTAACGCATAATTTTTTATTATGCGTTTTTGCTGTGCAGCGCTATA